CCTCCTCCTCCTCGCCAAGAAGAGGTGAGCCCCCCCCACCTCCTTCCCTCCCTCCCTCCTCCTCACTTTCATCCCCACCATCCCAATATCCCTGTCTCCCTGCGGTGTCTCTGCGTCGCTGTGACCTCACCGTGACCTCACCGTGACCTCACCGTGGCCTCACCGTGGCCTCACCGTGGCCTCACCGTGACCTCACCGTGGTCTCACCGTGACCTCACCGTGCCCTCACCGTGACCTCACCGTGACCTCACGGTGGCCTCACCGTGAACTCACCATGACCTCACCATGACCTCACCGTGACCTCACCGTGACCTCACCGTGACCTCACCGTGGTCTCACCGTGGCCTCACCGTGACCTCACCGTGACCTCACCGTGACCTCACCGTGGCCTCACCGTGGCCTCACCGTGGTGTGTCCATGACCTCACCATGACCTCACCATGACCTCACCGTGACCTCACCGTGACCTCACCGTGGCGTCTCCGTGCCACCACCACCCCTCCCCCCCACCCGGCGGCCAGCGCTGGCCGCCTGCAGGTGCTGGAGTACGCTCACCGCGCCATGGCACAGGCGACGCCGGGGCCGGCCCCCGCGTCCGCCCCCGGCGCCACCGCCCCGACCGCCGCGGGAGCTTCGACGCCGCCGCCGCCGCCGCCGTCGCCGGCGGCGTCCTCCTCCGGTGACAACGACTTCCTCCTGGTGCTGTTGGAGAACCACGAGCGGCGGCACACGGAGCACCGCCTGCGGGCGCCGTCGCCGTGAGCAACCCCCGCCGACGACGGCTCACCGGGACCGCGTGGGGGCGCCACGGTGGCAGGGAGATGTTGACTGCCTCGCCCGGTGTGCAGGAGGTCGTGGGTTCCATCCCGACCCTGACGCCTGCTGCTGCTGCTGTAGATTTGGAGTCTGCGTCTCTCTCGTCATCATCATCATCATCACGGTGGCTATGAGATGTTAACTACCTCGCCCGGTGTGCAGGAGGTCGTGGGTTCCATCCCGACCCTGACAACGCCTGCTGCTATAGATTTGGAGTCTGCGTCTCTCTCTCATCATCACTGTGGCTAGGAGATGTTGACTACCTCGCCCGGTGTGCAGGAGGTCGTGGGTTCCATCCCGACCCTGACGACGCCTGCTGCTTCTGCTGCTGTATATTTGGAGTTTGCGTGTCTCTCTCTCATCATCATCACGGTGGCTAGGAGATGTTAACTACCTCGCCTGGTATACAGGAGGTCGTGGGTTCGATCCCGACCCTGACAACGCCTGCTGCTGCTGCTGTATATTTGGAGTCTGCGTTTCTCTCTCTCATCATCATCACGGTGGCTATGAGATGTTAACTACCTCGCCTGGTCTACAGGAGGTCGTGGGTTCGATCCCGACCCTGACGACGCCTGCTGCTTCTGCTGCTGTAGATTTGGAGTCTGCGTCTCTCTCTCATCATCATCATCACAGTGGCTATGAGATGTTAACTACCTCGCCTGGTATACAGGAGGTCGTGGGTTCCATATTTGGAGTTTGCGTGTGGTGGCGATGGTCACCCCCGTAGTTGCCCCCCGAGTGGACCGTCACCTTGACCGTGACCTTGACCGCTAGCACCGCTAGCACCACACCACTAGCATCACACCGCTAGCACCACTAGCACCGCTAGCACCGCTAGCACCACACCGCTAGCACCACACCGCTAGCACCACACCACTAGCACCACACCGCTAGCACCACACCACTAGCACCGCTAGCACCACACCGCTAGCACCACACCACTAGCACCGCTAGCACCACACCGCTAGCACCACACCGCTAGCACCACACCACTAGCACCACACCGCTAGCACCACACCACTAGCACCGCTAGCACCACACTGCTAGCACCACACCACTAGCACCACACCGCTAGCACCACACCGCTAGCACCACACCGCGAGCACCACGCCACTAGCAACACACCACTAGCACCACACCACTAGCACCACACCACTAGCACCACACCGCTACACCACACCGCTAGCACCACTAGCACCGCTAGCACCACACCGCTAGCACCACACCGCTAGCACCACACCGCTAGCACCACACCGCTAGCACCACTAGCACCACACCGCTAGCACCACACCGCTAGCACCACACCACTAGCACCGCTAGCACCACACCGCTAGCACCACACCACTAGCACTGCTAGCACCACACCACTAGCACCACGCCACTAGCACCACACCGCCAGCACCACACCGCCAGCACCACACCGCTAGCACCACACCGCTAGCACCACACCGCTAGCACCACACCACTAACACCACACCGCTACACCACACCACTAACACCACCCCGCTAGCACCACACCACCAGCACCACACCGCTAGCACCACACCACTAACACCACACCACTAACACCACACCACTAACACCACACCACCAGCACCACACCGCTAGCACCACACCACTAACACCACACCACTAACACCACACCACTAACACCACACCACTAACACCACACCACTAACACCACACCACCAGCACCACACCACTAACACCACACCACTAACACCACACCACTAACACCACACCACTAGCACCACACCACTAACACCACACCACCAGCACCACACCGCTAGCACCACACCACTAACACCACACCACTAACACCACACCACTAACACCACACCACTAACACCACACCACCAGCACCACACCACTAGCACCACACCACTAACACCACACCACACCACTAACATCACACCACCAGCACCACACCACTAGCACCACACCACTAACACCACACCACCAGCACCACACCACTAACACCACACCACACCACTAACACCACACCACCAGCACCACACCACTAGCACCACACCACTAACACCACACCACTAACACCACACCACTAACACCACACCGCTACACCACACCGCTACACCACACCGCTAGCACCACACCACTAACACCACACCACCAGCACCACACCACTAACACCACACCACTAACACCACACCACTAACACCACACCACTAACACCACACCACTAACACCACACCAGTAACACCACACCACCAGCACCACACCACTAACACCACACCACTAACACCACACCACTAACACCACACCACTAACACCACACCACTAACACCACACCACCAGCACCACACCACTAACACCACACCACTAACACCACACCACTAACACCACACCACTAACACCACACCACACCACTAACACCACACCACTAACACCACACCGCCAGCTCCAGACCACCACCACCACACCACTAACACCACACCACTAACACCACACCACCAGCACCACACCACCAGCACCACACCACACCACTAACACCACACCACTAACACCACACCACTAACACCACACCACTAACACCACACCACTAACACCACACCACTAACACCACACCACTAACACCACACCACTAGCACCACACCACTAACACCACACCACTAACACCACACCACTAACACCACACCACTAACACCACACCACTAACACCACACCACTAACACCACACCACTAACACCACACCACTAACACCACACCACTAACACCACACCACTAACACCACACCACTAACACCACACCACTAACACCACACCACTAACACCACACCGCTACACCACACCACTAACACCACACCACTAACACCACACCACTAACACCACACCACTAACACCACACCACTAACACCACACCACTAACACCACACCACCAGCACCACACCACTAACACCACACCACTAACACCACACCACTAACACCACACCACTAACACCACACCACTAACACCACACCACTAACACCACACCACCAGCACCACACCACTAACACCACACCACTAACACCACACCACTAACACCACACCACTAACACCACACCACACCACTAACACCACACCACTAACACCACACCGCTAGCACCAGACCACCACCACCACACCACTAACACCACACCACTAACACCACACCACCAGCACCACACCACCAGCACCACACCACACCACTAACACCACACCACTAACACCACACCACTAACACCACACCACTAACACCACACCACTAACACCACACCACTAACACCACACCACTAACACCACACCACTAGCACCACACCACTAACACCACACCACTAACACCACACCACTAACACCACACCACTAACACCACACCACTAACACCACACCACTAACACCACACCACTAACACCACACCACTAACACCACACCACTAACACCACACCACTAACACCACACCACTAACACCACACCGCTACACCACACCACTAACACCACACCACTAACACCACACCGCTAGCACCACACCACTAACACCACACCACTAACACCACACCACTAACACCACACCACTAACACCACACCACCAGCACCACACCACTAACACCACACCACTAACACCACACCACTAACACCACACCACTAACACCACACCACTAACACCACACCACTAACACCACACCACCAACACCACACCACCAGCACCACACCACTAACACCACACCACTAACACCACACCACTAACACCACACCACTAACACCACACCACACCACTAACATCACACCACCAGCACCACACCACTAGCACCACACCACTAACACCACACCACCAGCACCACACCACTAACACCACACCACACCACTAACACCACACCACACCACTAACACCACACCACCAGCACCACACCACTAGCACCACACCGCTAGCACCACACCACCAGCACCACACCACTAGCACCACACCACTAACACCACACCACCAGCACCACACCACTAACACCACACCACACCACTAACACAACACCACACCACTAACACCACACCACCAGCACCACACCACTAGCACCACACCACTAACACCACACCACTAACACCACACCACTAACACCACACCACTAACACCACACCACTAACACCACACCACTAACACCACACCACCAGCACCACACCACTAGCACCACACCACTAACACCACACCACCAGCACCACACCACTAACACCACACCACACCACTAACACAACACCACACCACTAACACCACACCACCAGCACCACACCACTAACACCACACCACTAACACCACACCACTAACACCACACCACTAACACCACACCACTAACACCACACCACTAACACCACACACTAACACCACACCACCAGCACCACACCACTAACACCACACCACTAACACCACACCACTAACACCACACCACTAACACCACACCACTAACACCACACCACTAACACCACACCACCAGCACCACACCACTAACACCACACCACTAACACCACACCACTAACACCACACCACTAACACCACACCACACCACTAACATCACACCACCAGCACCACACCACTAGCACCACACCACTAACACCACACCACCAGCACCACACCACTAACACCACACCACACCACTAACACCACACCACACCACTAACACCACACCACCAGCACCACACCACTAGCACCACACCACTAACACCACACCACCAGCACCACACCACTAGCACCACACCACTAACACCACACCACCAGCACCACACCACTAACACCACACCACACCACTAACACAACACCACACCACTAACACCACACCACCAGCACCACACCACTAGCACCACACCACTAACACCACACCACCAGCACCACACCACTAGCACCACACCACTAACACCACACCACTAACACCACACCACTAACACCACACCACTAGCACCACACCACTAACACCACACCACTAACACCACACCACTAACACCACACCACCAGCACCACACCACTAACACCACACCACTAACACCACACCACTAACACCACACCACTAACACCACACCACTAACACCACACCACCAGCACCACACCACTAACACCACACCACTAACACCACACCACTAACACCACACCACTAACACCACACCACACCACTAACATCACACCACCAGCACCACACCACTAGCACCACACCACTAACACCACACCACCAGCACCACACCACTAACACCACACCACACCACTAACACCACACCACTAACACCACACCACCAGCACCACACCACTAGCACCACACCACTAACACCACACCACCAGCACCACACCACTAGCACCACACCACTAACACCACACCACCAGCACCACACCACTAACACCACACCACACCACTAACACAACACCACACCACTAACACCACACCACCAGCACCACACCACTAGCACCACACCACTAACACCACACCACCAGCACCACACCGCGACTCAACGCTGCACTCTGGAGTCTCTACTTGGCTCACCACGCCAACTTGACCCCTCGTGTTGTTAAACCCCCCCCTTGCCCCCCTGCCCCCCCCCTCCCTTGCCCCCCCCTTGCCCCCCCTCCCTTGCCCCCCCCCTTGCCCCCCCCGTGAGTAGCAGCGACATGCAGCGCTGGATCGACGCCATCTCTCCCCCCAAGCACACGGACGACGGGGAACAAATCTACGAAGACTGGGGTGAGAGTGGGGGGTAGTGGGGGGGGAGAGTGGGGGTGAGTGGGGGTGAGAGTGGGGGTGAGAGTGCTGTGTGTGTGCTGTTTGCTGTGTGTGTGCTGTTTGCTGTGTGTGTGCTGTGTGTGTGCTGTTTGCTGTGTGTGTGCTGTGTGTGTGTGTGCTGTGTGTGTGCTGTGTGTGTGTGTGCTGAGTGTGTGTGTGCTGTGTATGTGTGTGCTGTGTGTCGCAGACTGTCCGCAGGTACAGTGTGTGTGCTGTGAGTGTGCTGTGTGTGTGTGCTGTGAGTGTGCTGTGTGTGTGTGCTGTGTGTGTGTGCTGTGTGTGCTGTGTGCTGTGTGTGTGTGCTGTGTGTGTGTGCTGAGTGTGTGCTGTGTGTGTGTCGCAGACTGTCCGCAGGTACATTGTGTGTGCTGTGTGTGTGTGCTGTGTGTGTGTGCTGTGTGTGTGTGTGCTGTGTGTGCTGTGTGTGTGTGCTGTGTGTGCTGTGTGCTGTGTGTGTGTGCTGTGTGTGTGTGTGCGCTGTGTGTGTGTGCGCTGTGTATGTGTGCTGTGTGTGTGTGCTGTGTGTGTGTGCTGTGTGTGCTGTGTGCTGTGTGTGTGTGCTGAGTGTGTGCTGTGTGTGTCGCAGACTGTCCGCAGGTACAGTGTGTGTGCTGTGTGTGTGCTGTGTGTGTGTGCTGTGTGTGTGTGTGCTGTGTGTGCTGTGTGTGTGCTGTGTGTGTGTGTGCTGTGTGTGTGTGCTGTGTGTGTGTGTGCGCTGTGTGTGTGTGCGCTGTGTATGTGTGCTGTGTGTGTGTGCTGTGTGTGTGTGTGCTGTGTGTGCTGTGTGTGTGCTGTGTGTGTGTGTGCTGTGTGTGTGTGCTGTGTGTGTGTGTGCGCTGTGTGCTGTGTGTGTGCTGTGTATGTGTGCTGTGTGTGTGTGCTGTGTGTGTGCTGTGTGTGTGTGCTGTGTGTGTGCTGTGTGTGTGTGTGCTGTGTGTGTGCTGTGTGTGTGCTGAGTGTGCTGTGTGTGCTGTGTGTGTGCTGTGTGTGTGCTGAGTGTGGTGTCTGTGTGTGTGCTGTGTGTGTGCTGTGTGTGTGCTGTTTGCTGTGTGTGTGCTGTGTGTGTGCTGTGTGTGTGCCGCAGACTGCCCGCAGGTACAGTGTGTGTGCTGTGAGTGTGCTGTGTGTGTGTGCTGTGTGTGTGTGCTGTGTGTGTGTGCTGTGTGTGTGTGCTGTGTGTGCTGTGTGCTGTGTGTGCTCTGTGTGTATGCTGAGTGTGTGCTGTGTGTGTGTCGCAGACTGCCCGCAGGTACAGTGTGTGTGCTGTGAGTGTGCTGTGTGTGTGTGCTGTGTGTGTGTGCTGTGTGTGTGTGCTGTGTGTGTGTGCTGTGTGTGCTGTGTGCTGTGTGTGCTCTGTGTGTATGCTGAGTGTGTGCTGTGTGTGTGTCGCAGACTGTCCGCAGGTACAGTGTGTGTGCTGTGAGTGTGCTGTGTGTGTGTGCTGTGTGTGTGTGTGCTGTGTGTGTGTCGCAGACTGTCCGCAGGTACAGTGTGTGTGCTGTGAGTGTGCTGTGTGTGTGTGTGCTATGTGTGTGATGTGTGTGTGTGTGCTATGTGTGTGCTGTGTGTGTGTGTGCTGTGTGTGTGTCGCAGACTGTCCGCAGGTACAGTGTGTGTGCTGTGTGTGTGCGTGCTGTGTGTGTGTCGCAGACTGTCCGCAGGTACAGTGTGTGTGCTGTGTGTGTGCTGTGTGTGTGTGCTGTGTGTGTGAGTGTGCTGTGTGTGTGTGTGTACTATGTGTGTGCTGAGTGTGTGTGTGCTGTGTGTGCTATGTGTGTGCTGTGTGTGTGCTGTGTGTGTGTCGCAGACTGTCCGCAGGTACAGTGTGTGTGCTGTGTGTGTGTCGCAGACTGTCCGCAGGTACAGTGTGTGTGTGCTGAGTGTGTGTGTGTGCTGTGTGTGTGCTGAGTGTGTGTGTGCTGTGTGCTGAGTGTGTGTGTGCTGTGTGTTGTGTGTGCTGTGTGTGCTGTGTGTGTGTGTGCTGTGTGTGTGCTGAGTGTGTGTGTGCTGTGTGTGTGTGTGCTGTGTGTCGCAGACTGTCCGCAGGTACAGTGTGTGTGCTGTGAGTGTGCTGTGTGTGTGTGCTGTGTGTGTGTGTGCTGTGTGTGTGTGCTGTGTGTGCTGTGTGTGTGTCGCAGACTGTCCGCAGGTACAGTGTGTGTGCTGTGTGTGTGTCGCAGACTGTCCGCAGGTACAGTGTGTGTGCTGTGTGTGTGTCGCAGACTGTCCGCAGGTACAGTGTGTGTGCTGTGTGTGCTGTGTGTGTGCTGTGTGTGCTCTGTGTGTGTGCTGAGTGTGTGCTGTGTGTGTGTGCTGTGTGTGTGCTGTGTGTGTGTGCTGTGTGTGTGCTGTGTGTGTGTGTGCTATGTGTGTGTGCTGAGTGTGTGCTGTGTGTGTGTGCTGTGTGTGTGCTGTGTGTGCTGTGTGTGTGTGCTGTGTGTGCTCTGTGTGTGTGCTATGTGTGTGCTGTGTGTGTGTGTGTGCTATGTGTGTGCTGAGTGTGTGTGTGCTGTGTGTGCTGTGTGTGCTATGTGTGTGCTGTGTGTGCTGTGTGTGTGTGCTGTGTGTGTGCTGTGTGTGTGTGTGCTGTGTGTGTGTGTGCTGTGTGTGTCGCAGACTGTCCGCAGGTACAGTGTGTGTGCTGTGTGTGTGTCGCAGACTGTCCGCAGGTACAGTGTGTGTGCTGTGTGTGCTGTGTGTGTGTGCTGTGTGTGTGTGCTATGTGTGTGCTGTGTGTGTGAGTGTGCTGTGTGTGTGTGTGTGCTATGTGTGTGCTGTGTGTGCTATGTGTGTGCTGAGTGTGTGTGTGTCGCAGACTGTCCGCAGGTACAGTGTGTGTGCTGTGTGTGCTGAGTGTGTGCTGTGTGTGTGTGTGCTGAGTGTGCTGTCTGTGTGTGCTGTGTGTGCTGTGTGTGTGTGCTGTGTGTGTGTGTGCTGTGTGTGTCGCAGACTGTCCGCAGGTACAGTGTGTGTGCTGTGTGTGTGTGTGCTGTGTGTGTGTGCTGTGTGTGTCGCAGACTGTCCGCAGGTACAGTGTGTGTGCTATGTGTGTGCTGAGTGTGTGCTGTCTGTGTGTGCTGTGTGTGCTGAGTGTGCTGTGTGTGTGTGCTGTGTGTGTGTGCTGTGTGTGTGCTGAGTGTGCTGTGTGTGTGCTGTGTGTGCTGTGTGTGTGCTGTGTGTGTCGCAGACTGTCCGCAGGTACAGTGTGTGTGCTGTGTGTGTGCTGAGTGTGTGCTGTCTGTGTGTGCTGTGTGTGCTGAGTGTGCTGTGTGTGTGTGCTGTGTGTGTGTGCTGTGTGTGTGCTGAGTGTGCTGTGTGTGTGCTGTGTGTGCTGTGTGTGTGCTGTGTGTGTCGCAGACTGTCCGCAGGTACAGTGTGTCCACGCGTACACAGCGCAGCAGGCGGACGAGCTGGCACTGGAGCAGGCGGACGTGGTGAACGTGACGCGCAAAACCCCCGACGGTGATGATACACTCACCACTCATCACTCACTGATACACTCACCACTCACTACTACACTCACCACTCATCACTCACTGATACACTACTCACCACTCATCACTCACTGATACACTCACCACTCACTACTACACTCACCACTCATCACTCACTGATACACTACTCACCACTCATCACTCACTGATACACTCACCACTCATCACTCACTGATACACTACTCACCACTCACTGATACACTCACCACTCACTGATACACTCACCACTCACTGATACACTACTACACTCACCACTCACTGATACACTACTCACCACTCACTGATACACTACTCACCACTCACTGATACACTCACCACTCACTGATACACTACTCACCACTCACTGATACACTCACCACTCACTGATACACTCATCACTCACTGATACACTCACCACTCACTGATACACTCACCACTCGTCACTCACTGATACACTCACCACTCACTGATACACTCACCACTCACCGATACACTCACCACTCACTGATACACTACTCACCACTCATCACCTACTGATACACTACTCACCACTCATCACTCACCACTCACTGATACACTCACCACTCACTGATACACTACTCACCACTCACTGATACACTCACCACTCACTGATACACTACTACACTCACCACTCACTGATACACTACTCACCACTCACTGATACACTCACCACTCACTGATACACTCACCACTCACCGATACACTCACCACTCACTGATACACTCACCACTCACCGATACACTCACCACTCACTGATACACTCACCACTCACTGTTACACTCACCACTCACTGATACACTACTCACCACTCACTGTTACACTACTCACCACTCACTGATACACTCACCACTCATCACTCACTGATACACTCACCACTCATCACTCACTGATACACTCACCACTCATCACTCACTGATACACTCACCACTCATCACTCACTGATACACTCACCACTCATCACTCACTGATACACTCACCACTCATCACTCACTGATACACTCACCACTCATCACTCACTGATACACTCACCACTCACTGATACACTCACCACTCACTGTTACACTCACCACTCATCACTCACTGATACACTCACCACTCATCACTCACTGATACACTCACCACTCACTGATACACTACTCACCACTCACTGTTACACCACTCATCACTCACTGATACACTACTCACCACTCATCACTCACTGATACACTACTCACCACTCATCACCTACTGATACACTACTCACCACTCACTGTTACACCACTCATCACTCACTGATACACTCACCACTCACTGATACACTCACCACTCACTGATACACTCACCACTCACTGATACACTCACCACTCACTGATACACTCACCACTCACTGATACACTCACCACTCACTGATACACTCACCACTCACTGATACACTCACCACTCATCACTCACTGATACACTACTCACCACTCATCACTCACTGATACACTACTCACCACTCATCACTCACTGATACACTACTACACCCCATCACTCACTGATACACTACTACACTCACTGATACACTACTCACCACTCACTGATACACTCACCACTCACTGATACACTCACCACTCACTGTTACACTACTCACCACTCACTGATACACTCACCACTCACTGATACACTCACCACTCACTGATACACTACTCACCACTCACTGATACACTCACCACTCACTGATACACTCACCACTCACTGTTACACCACTCATCACTCACTGATACACTACTCACCACTCATCACCTACTGATACACTACTCACCACTCACTGATACACTACTCACCACTCACTGATACACTCACCACTCGTCACTCACTGATACACTCACCACTCACTGATACACTCACCACTCACTGATACACTACTCACCACTCATCACTCACTGATACACTCATCACTCACTGTTACACTCACCACTCACTGATACACTCACCACTCACTGATACACTCACCACTCACTGTTACACTCACCACTCACTGATACACTCACCACTCATCACTCACTGATACACTCACCACTCACTGATACACTCACCACTCACTGATACACTCACCACTCACTGATACACTACTCACCACTCACTGATACACTCACCACTCATCACTCACTGATACACTCACCACTCACTGATACACTACTCACCACTCACTGATACACTACTCACCACTCACTGATACACTACTCACCACTCACTGATACACTCACCACTCACTGATACACTACTCACCACTCACTGATACACTCACCACTCACTGATACACTCACCACTCACTGATACACTCACCACTCACTGATACACTACTCACCACTCACTGATACACTCACCACTCACTGATACACTCACCACTCACTGATACACTACTCACCACTCACTGATACACTACTACACTCACCACTCACTGATACACTACTCACCACTCACTGATACACTCACCACTCACTGATACACTCACCACTCACTGATACACTCACCACTCACTACTACACTCACCACTCACTGATATACTACTCACCACTCACTAATACACTACTCACCAGTCACTGATACACTCACCACTCATCACTCACTGATACACTCACCACTCACTGATACACTCACCACTCACTGATACACTCACCACTCGTCACTCACTGATACACTCACCACTCACTGATACACTCACCACTCACTGATACACTCACCACTCACCACTCACTGATACACTCACCACTCGTCACTCACTGATACACTACTACACTCATCACTCACTGTTACACTCACCACTCACTGATACACTCACCACTCGTCACTCACTGATACACTACTCACCACTCACTGATACACTCACCACTCACTGATACACTCACCACTCACCACTCACTGATACACTACTCACCACTCGTCACTCACTGATACACTCACCACTCACTGATACACTCACCACTCATCACTCACTGATACACTCACCACTCACTGATACACTCACCACTCACTGATACACTCACCACTCACTGATACACTACTCACCACTCACTGATACACTACTCACCACTCACTGATACACTCACCACTCACTGATACACTCACCACTCACTGATACACTACTCACCACTCACTGATACACTCACCACTCACTGATACACTCACCACTCACTGATACACTCACCACTCATCACTCACTGATACACTCACCACTCACTAATACACTCATCACTCACTGATACACTACTCACCACTCACTGATACACTCACCACTCACTGATACACTCACCACTCATCACTCACTGATACACTCACCACTCACTGATACACTCATCACTCACTGATACACTACTCACCACTCACTGATACACTCACCACTCACTGATACACTCACCACTCATCACTCACTGATACACTCACCACTCACTGATACACTCATCACTCACTGATACACTACTCACCACTCACTGATACACTCACCACTCGTCACTCACTGATACACTACTCACCACTCTGATACACTCACCACTCACCACTCACTACTACACTCACCACTCACTGATACACTCACCACTCACTGATACACCACTCACCACTCATCACTCACTGATACACTCACCACTCATCACTCACTGATACACTCACCACTCACTGATACACTCACCACTCACTGATACACTCACCACTCATCACTCACTGATACACTCACCACTCACTGATACACTACTCACCACTCATCACTCACTGATACACTCACCACTCACTGATACACTCACCACTCATCACTCACTGATACACTACTACCCTCACTGATACACTACTCACCACTCACTGATACACTCACCACTCATCACTCACTGATACACTCACCACTCACTGATACACTCACCACTCATCACTCACTGATACACTCACCACTCATCACTCACTGATACACTCACCACTCATCACTCACTGATACACTACTACACCCCATCACTCACTGATACACTACTACACTCACTGATACACTACTCACCACTCACTGATACACTCACCACTCACTGATACACTCACCACTCACCACTCACTGATACACTCACCACTTGTCACTCACTGATACACTCACCACTCACTGATACACTACTACACTCACTGATACACTCACCACTCACTGATACACTCACCACTCATCACTCACTGATACACTACTACACTCATCACTCACTGATACACTCACCACTCATCACTCACTGATACACTCACCACTACTGATACACTCACCACTCATCACTCACTGATACACTACTACACTCACTGATACACTCACCACTCATCACTCACTGATACACTCACCACTCACTGATACACTCACCACTCACTGATACACTCACCACTCACTGATACACTACTACACTCACTGATACACTACTCACCACTCACTGATACACTACTCACCACTCACTGATACACTACCCACCACTCACTGATACACTACTCACCACTCACTGATACACTCACCACTCATCACTCACCGATACACTACTCACCACTCATCACTCACTGATACACTCACCACTCATCACTCACTGATACACTACTACACCCCATCACTCACTTGATACACTCACCACTCACTGATACACTCACCACTCACTGATACACTACTACACTCACTGATACACTCACCACTCATCACTCACTGATACACTCACCACTCATCACTCACTGATACACTCACCACTCACTGATACACTACTACACTCACTGATACACTCACCACTCACTGATACACTCACCACTCACTGATACACTACTCACTGATACACTACTCACCACTCATCACTCACTGATACACTACTCACACTCATCACTCCCTGATACACTACTACACTCACTGATACACTCACCACTCACTGATACACTACTCACCACTCACTGATACACTCACCACTCACTGATACGCTACTCACCACTCACTGATACACTCACCACTCACTGATA